CCGTCTCCCTCACTCAAACATTCGGGATGGCGGCTCTGGCAGGAGAAATGTGAAGTTGGGGGTGTCGCGCCCGACTCGGTGCTTTCCGCGGTGGTAAATAAGTCGGACAGGCAGTTATTTGAGGTCGGCCATCGCCTTTTTCTAAATCCTCGTCCTTCAGCCGCAGTGCGGTGACCCCAGGAGCCCCCGTGTGCCATCAGAGCGCCCCGTGAGGCCCCGCGCCTCTGCCCTGGCCGCAGAGCTCACTGCCTGCTGACTGGGCCGGGGAAAGCCCGCTCTCCCGAGCGTGGCCCGTGGGATCCTCAGCGGTTACCCAGCCGCGTCACGGCCCGGAAACTTCGCTGGGTCCTGAGGGACCAGTCAGCGCCTGCGGAAATCCCGGAGGACGGGAGCACAGCGGGCCCCGGGGCGCACCCTGCGCGCGCAGAGCTCCAGGGGGGCTGAGCATTTAAAGTGGCCCCGCTTTTGAGGGACGAAAACCAGTGTCCTTTGTAGAGCGGCGAGAATCCGCACATCAGACAGAAGAGTGGTATTTTTGGTTTGCAATAGTAGGGCTGCGTGGGGCGCCCCCTGTCGGTGCGTCTCTGAATCCAACCCGGCCGGGAGCCAGGGGCCGTCCGGCTGGAGCAGGAGAGGGCGCTTGGGCGCATGGAGAGCAGCAGGTACTTCCCTCCCCAAGGGTTACCGGGGAAAAAGAGATTGGAGGGCAGTTTTAAAAGAGAAAAAGAACATGAAGAAAAAATAAAAGTTTATTCCAAATACCAACAAAGTCGAAGAAAAGTTAAGTTTTAAAAATAAAAGAAGCCAGCGAGAGAGACGTGGTACTGGACGCCTGTAATTCCAGCATTCTGGGAGGCTGAGGCAGGAGGATTGCAAATTCAAGCCAAATCTGAGCAACTTAGACTTAGATTCTGTCTCAAAATAAAAAAAAAAAATGGAAAAGGGCTGAGGACGTAGCTCACAGCAAAGGCTCTGGGTTCAATCCCAGTTCCACAAAAATAAATAGAATAACAGTAAAAGAAACCAAACCCTTAAAAAGGGTTTCTTTGGATATCTGTCTGAGAGGTGCAGACCCGAGCAGGAGTCCGGTGTGTCGTCTCGGACAGACCCGGTGGACTTCTGAGCACATCTGTCACTTTGTGGCTGAATGTACCATTCAGACGCGCTCCGAGCTGGCCGTCACGGTGTCCTGTGCCGCTCCTGCTTTTGCTCTGGGTGCAGGCTGCCCTGATTCCCTTCCTCGGGTGGCTGGACACACGGCGAGTGTCACAGTGACCAGCTCACTTTGGTCACATTCGGGGGAAATGTCCCAGGTGCACTTTCCTGAGTGAGGGTCGTTTTGGTATTCTTGCCCAGATTCCTGGGCTCTGCCAAAATATCAAGACAAAAGTTGACTGAGATTCCTTCCCCTTTTCTTTGCTGGACGATGAAGACTTTGTTTTACGTCAGTGTGGTTCAGCCGGACGTGGTGGTGCACACCTGTCATCCCAGCACTTGGGAGGCTGAGGCAGGAGTATCGCTGTGAGTTCAAGGCCAGCCTGGGCTACACAGTGAGACTCTGTCTCAAAAACAAAAAACAAAACAAAAAAAAAATCAGCCACTGGTTTATCTTCCTGCCTTTGGGAAGGCCTGCACCTACCCAACGGTAAACCCTGCCTTCCATACAGTAGGAACACAGGGTCACCAGCGTGTGCTCTGCCTTTGTCCTTGAATGTGGATGTTGTTCCTGTCGTGTCTGTCACTGTGAGCTGTGCTGGTGACGAGCCGTGTCCCGTCAGCTGGCGCAGGATGAAGGATGCTCCCCGGGGGGCTTCGCCGTGGTGGAGTACAGCAGCCCGGAGCAAGCCGAGGAGGCGCGGCAGGCAGCCACGGGCCTGAGCATCGGGGGCCGCGCCGTCCAGGTCTCCTTCTGTGCCCCAGGGGCGCCGGGCCGGAGCACTCTGGCGGCACTGATTGCAGCGCAGCGTGTGGTAAGGTCTCCCTCTTGTTGTATTATTGTGATTGTTGTTGTTAGCGTTAGGGTTTGCTTGAGGCAGCATCAAGCTGTGTAGCCCAGGCTGGCCTTGAACTCATGAGATCTTCCTGCCTCAGCCTGCTGAGTGTTAGGGTGGCAAGTGCACACGCCCCCAGCTGGCCTCCTCTTAGGGATGGGGAAAATTCTAATATTGTGCTATCTTCATGGCTGCCATCTGTGCAGGGTAACTGGTCCCAGACTGTACTGTTGTTATGTTTCCGTGACACTGAAGGCATTCCTCGTGTTCGTCTTGTTTTACAAAGTTGGTTAAACGGCATGGTGAATGAAGTCAGTTGTCACCAGAAAGAGAAATTCTGCTTACTGCAGTGCGTCCATCTGGAGAAACGTTTTGAAGGAATTTCGTTCACTCAGCAAATATTTGAGTTGCTATTTCTATTTTAAGTTTGGAGTGCAAGACACCTGCTTTTGAAGAAATGTTTGAAAGTGTCGTGATTACTCTTCTCACTACTGGGATACAATACCTAACACCCACAAGTTAACGGAGGAGAGGTTGATTTAACTCACAGCTTGTGGAGGTGTCAGTCCATAACTGGCTGGCTTCGAGGCAGAGCTGCGTGGCAGGAGGGTGTCACGGGAGAAACAGTCCACGGCAGGGCAGGAGGTGGCGGTGGCAGCCTGCCTTTCTGTCCCTTTAAGCTATAAACCTATTGACTGGTGCTGCTCACACCTAGGGCAGGGCTTGCATGATCCACACCCAGAACTATGCTAAGCTCAGTTACCAGAGCACCCTCAATCCCAGCAATCCCAGCATCGCACACCCGTGATCTCACCCGCTTCTGAAAGCCCCATCTACGAGTATGTGAGGCTTTGGAGGCTATGCAGATAAAAGCGTAACAGGAAGTGTTGTGGCGCCCACAAGTCTCCAAAGATGAGAGCTTGCTTACCCGGCGCCACCTTGCCACTTCCTCATTGTAGTAAGTGGCAGCTTCCTCCCCGCGGGAGGCTCCTTAGGGATGGAGACCACGCCTTCCGCAGACCACCCTAGCACGCAGCACAGCAAGGGTTTGACTTCACGAAGGAAGGAAGTGGGGGAGGAAGAAAGGAGGACAGTTTTGCAAATACTGGGGAGAACCTCATGAAGAAGTGACATTTGGGTGTCACGTTAAAGAACCGAGTGTGGCATTTAAGTGGGACATTAAGGACAGATGCGAAATTGACAAGCCAAGCGAGGGACTGCCAGAGAGAGAGAGCTTCTGCGTGAGCACTGCCTGTCTGCATTGTCAGGGTGGGAGCCTGCATTTGCAGTCGGCGTGCTGCCGGCCCTCGTGGCTGACAGGTCTTCACCCTTGTGTGTCCCTTGTTTGTCCCTCGCCTCTCGTCTGCCGGTCACCTGCCCTTTCGCCTGTGCTGAGGTGCAGTTGTCGCCCACCGCTCCTTCCACGTTGTCGCCGTGGTCTCTGCAGACAGGAGCCAGCCGGGTCCCCACGTTACAGGGGGTTCAGGATCTGGGGGGCTGCGTGGTGCAGAGGTGGGGTGGGAGAGCTGGGCCTGAGGGGCAAGCTGAGGCCTGAGGGACGGGGACCAAAAGTGGACGTCACGGGGAGCTTGGGGAATCTTCTCTCCGCGCTGCAGCAGTCGGACCAGGGTCAGGAGATTGGTCAGAAAGAGTTTCACAGCCATACTGGGCAGGAGGAAATTAGAGGAAGGGATGGAGGGAGTGGCCTTGGTCTCCCATCGCCCGCCCTCCCCTGCTTTCTGACCTTGCTTCCTGGACCCCTCCCATTTTTGGTGTTTTTGAGACAGGGTCTCCCTATATAGCCCTGGCCGGCCTCGAACTCACAGCAATCCTCCTGCCTCGGCCTCCCCAAGTACTGGGGTGACAGGTGTGAGCCACACCCAGCTCCCCCTTTTCCCAGTTCGCTGTTCCCGCGCAGGATCTTTGCTGTCCTTATGCCCTCGCTGGCTCACGTGACCTCAGCCATCTGTTGGTGTCGCCTGCCTTTCTGCTGGCTGTTTGCCCTCCCACCAGATCAACTCCCCAAGTTTGTGACTCTGGGCCTCCAGTCCCTGTTCTGTGGCTCTGTGGCCCAGGCTCCATGTCCCCCAGGAGGGTGGCCACTAACGGTGTGAGCCCTGCTGCTGGCTCTTGGCAGCTCCTTCCATTTCAGAAAGCGGAGGAAAGAGGTTTATTGGGCAGAATTTTAAGGTAGACAAAAAGGAGAGGGAGGGGGACAGAGTGCACATTGGTGCCTGTGTTTGGGGAGGGGCAGTCTGTGGAGGGGGTGAGGCCCACAGGTGGGGGTGAACACAGGACTTGCAGGCACACAGCCAGCCAGGCCGCTCTCACTGTCCTGCCTCGGCCTCCCCTCTGTGAGTGACCCTGGCCTCTGTTATGTGGACCGCTGACCTGTGTTGGGCCCCGCCCCGCTCTGATTGTGGCATTCGAGGCCCAGCGCCCGTCTCGTCCCGTGCCGGCTGCCGTCACAGCTTCCTCCTCCGTCTTCTCCTCAGCCCCCCACTTGTGGCCCTGTAAACGCCGCACATCTGTCCTCCAAGCGGTAGGGCAGAGCCGGCCTGGGGTTGCCGCCCGCACAGGCACAGTGAGACCCGGACCCCGGCCGCACTTTCTGTCCTCTTCACCTTCGGGCCCTGGCCCAACACGGTCTCTGTCCCCGCTGCCGCTCGGGCCTGGCCCCTGCCGTCGCTGGGATGAGGGATGAGTGTGGTTCTCCAGCCTGGAGCTGCCGGGACCGCCCGGTCTTTCCTTGCTGTCCGTGTGACTCTAAAACTGGCGGTGGTGGCGTGGAGTGCGCATTTGGGCCGGCCCCTGGGTCTGTGTCTCCAGGTGAGTCTCACACCCTCCCTTCAGGGTAAGTGGCGCAACTGCAGCGTCTGCAGAGGAAATGACTTTCTGCGGAATTGTCGTTCTCTGTGTTCTGCGCATGGTTAAATGTTTCTTTCACTTAGGGTGGCAGAGGACACACTGTCGGGAGGCCGGGGTAGGAGTGACACCGTGGCGCTGTGCTGCACCGCGGGCAGTTTCTTCCTGTGTGCGCTCCTTCCTCCTCGGCGCTCTCCAGGGTTGGGAACACTCCCGCCCTGAGCTAGCTGGCAGCTGGACATCCAGTGCCTCTCCCGTGACGGCGCTGGGCCTTGGCTCACGGCCCTGGCCACTGTCCCTTGTCCCTCGGGCTCTGAGCCTCCCCGCTGGGCTGCCTGCTGTGTGTCTGTGCCCTTCCTCCCTTCTGTGCTCTTTACTTGGGCTCCGATGACAGGAAGCAGCCGGGCCGCTCTCCTCTGGGGCTCCCCGGCCCCGTCCCTGTCCTCCCCCCACTCTGCCCTTCGCCTGATCTCTGACGCCCAGCTGCTCGGGGTGTGGGTCACATGCGTTCTGCCCCTCATCTGTGTCTTAAAGCAGCGTGGAGGTCCAGGGCGCCACCCCGTGCCCTGTCCCCTGGGTGGAGAAGCTGACCCCGGTGAGGGTGGCGCCTGGTTCTGCTCCCGCACCCGCTCTTTCTCCCTTCACGACTCTGTCCTTGCTTCCGCCACTGGTAAAATCCTGGAACTTCAGACTTCCCACGCCCTGTCATGGATTCTTTCCTGTTTGAGTCTAATCATTTATTAACAAAAGGAACCCTCAGGGCTCAAGCGGGAGTAGAAAATAGCATCTTTCTTGCGTTTTAAAGATTACATTTTAAATGAAATTTTAAAGGCTCTCACAGTGACCTTATCAAAGCCCCGCGCCCTGCCAGCTGAGCTTCTTGCTGTGCAAATCGAAAACACAAAAGTAAAGCTGACCCAGGGAAGGGAGGACCGTGCGTGCCACACAGTGCACATTATAAATCTCAAACTTTTCACCTCAAAAGGAGAATTCCAAGGCCACGTTTCCCCTGAAACAGAGCAAGGCCTGGGGGGCCGCCTCTGACTGCAGCCTGGCGGCTCAGCAGAGAGCCTGTCTGTCCCTCGCTGCCTCCACCTGGGGTGTGGCTCCGCCTCAGATCCGCACCTCCAGGACTTGAGTCCCTGCTGGCCAGGCTTTGAGTGTGGGTGCCGGAGTGACTCATGGCACCGCGTGTGCCCCAGGTTCAAGCCCCGGCCCCAGAATGCGGGGAGCAGGACCTGGCCCACAGCCGGCTTCCGTCCCCGGGGCTGCTGAGGGAGCTGAGAAGGCTGCGCAGACGGCAGGAAGCCGTGGTCCCAGCTGCTCGTCCGTCTCCTGAGCCCACATCCATCCGTCCCTAAGCCTGCTGTGGCCTGGGCGGCTGCTGCTCTTTTCCTACCTGCTGTGCAGGCTGAGAGAGCCAGGCTGAGAGAGCTGAGAGGCAGTGTGGAGGGAGCTCTGTGGCTCTGTAACCCCAGAGCCGTTCCCTGAAGTCAGTGCGGAGTGCACACCTGTGATCCCACCACACAGGGAGGCTGAGGAGGGAGGATCACAAGTTCCAGCCCAGCCTGGGCAACTTAGACTCTTTTGTTAAGAAATAAAAAGGGGCCAGGGATTTTGCTGCGTGGTGCCAGTGCCTGCCCGGCAAGCATAAGGTCCTGAGTTCAATCCCTGGTACTGAAAAAATAAATAAATAAAAAGGCAAGGATGGAGCTTAGTGCAAAGGTCCTGGGGTCAGTCCCCGATACCGCACACACAGCCCTTCCCTGGTGGCCACCCTGGATCATGGCCAATGTCTACTTCACCCCCTCTGGTGGCCCTGTTTTGCTGTGTGCGGGGGAGAGTGACCCGGCTGGCTGGGTCAGGTCTCACTTTCTCAGGGCCTGGAGTTTGTCGTGTTTCCCTTGCATGCATCAGGCTGGTTTGTAAAACTGAAACAATTTCACATGTGTAGGAGGCGGCCCAGCTACACGTGTCAAAGTGGTGCATCTCGGTCTAGTTGTAGAGGATTAAGTTAAAGAAATAGAGATGTTCGGTGCAGAGTTTTGCTTTGTCAGACAGCTCACATTATTAAACTTTTCCTTGTTGGCAGCACTGGGCTTGGAACCCACTGGGCAAACTCCTAGCACTGAGCTGCACCCAGCCCTGGTGTTAAGCTCTCATCAGCGGTATAACAGGACACTTTCTGCTGGGCACGGTGCACACTTCCCGGCATTCAGGCGGCTGAGGCAGGAAGATCACTGTGAGTGTAAGGCCCACTGAGCTACATCACGAGTCCCTGTCTCAAAATCTTTTTAAGACAGACTTCTGTGGTGTCAAAGTGCTTGTGTTGTTCACCAGGTTACCTCGCCATCCGTCAATTCGGATTCCCAGTGGCTCTTTAACGGCGACTTGAGGTCGCACAGATAGTGGGGTGCAGATAACGGGGTGGAGGCCTGTGGCCAAGAATGGGACGGACACAAGCAGACAGACCACAGCGCAGGCTCTGGCCGGAAGAGGGTTCAGGGAGAGGCCTGGGGCAGCGTCCTGCGCGCTTGCCCAAGTGCCTGCCCTAACGCGTCCAATTTGTGTCCCCGAAGATGCAGAGTGGCCAGAAGGGGCTGCTCCCGGAGCCGAGCCCGGTGCAGATCATGAAGGGGCTGAGCAACCCCGCCACGCTGCAGGCACTGCTGCAGCCCCCGCTGTGTGCGCGGGCAGCGAAGCCAGGTGAGTCCGTGGGGCCCTGCGGCCACCTCTCCAGGCCCGTGAGACGGCCTGAGACAGTCGTGTGCTCTGAGTAGTCCTGGTAGGCACCGCCTGCTTATGCGATCCCGACTTTTTAACTGCTAATAAACGTTAAACAACGTTAAATGAAAAGAGCTCCGAGTCACCTGAATCTGCTGCGTGTGTGCCTCCGGCTCACCCCCGCGTCTGTGACAGTTTTAGCAGGATTTTTCTGCTAGCCGTGCCGAGGGTCTGTCACAGGATGGCTTCGCTCTATAGCGCATGACAGGGGCGTTACTTTCGTCTCAGCACCGTGACTCTCTATGGTATCTGCATACATCGAAGAGCAGCCTGCTGGGCGTCCTTTCTGATGTGCGGTTCAGAAGGTGAAGATGTTCGACTTTCCGCAGTGTGGCCGCACTGGCACCGTGGGGCTGGACGTCGGTGTCCAGGGCTCCGGTCAGTCAGGGCAGCCTCCATCCCAGCCGGCCGACACCAGCACTCCGACACTCGGAGTCACCGCCGGCCACCACATAAAGGGCTGCACCCTCCCCCGGCTGCCCCTGTAGGCCCCAGGCCAGGGGCTCCCGGCCACCTGCATTCGTGACCATCTGGGTGCGAATCCGAGAGCTCCCAGCCTCCCACAGGCACGTGCTCGCCACCACACGCGGCTGCTGGGCGAGGGGCCGTGGCGCCCCCGGTCTCCCTGTGACCGTCCTGTCCCAAGAGCTCGCCGCAGGCCCCTCCCTCTGCTCACTCGCCACTCCCTCCCCGGCCCAGCCCGGCTCCCGGTGCTTAGCCGTGTTCACACGACAAGAACACTCTTCCGAACTGGGAGATCCTAAGGACTGAGGGGCCCCTTTCAGGAAGCATGGACAAAACCAGTTTATTTTTTTGGTTTTTTTTAGTACCGGGGATCGAACTCGGGACCTTGCACTTGCCAGGCAGGCACGGTGCTGCTGAGTTACATCTCTGGCCCCACCAGTTAAATTCTTTATGACACAGCGCATTCACAGCGAGTGTTTCGGGTGATCGTGTCATCTGTGCGTACGGCAGGAGGCCCGTGAGGGATTCTGACGTGGCCTGCTGTGCATCCGGACACCTCCTCTGGTTTCACGATACAAGGGTCTCCCTCCCTGCCTTGACACACGAGACTCGGAGAGCCATTATTTCCTCAGGCGCCTGCTCTGTAGTTCGATGATTTTGATTATGATCAGGAATGAAGACAGTCGTTCTCACAGCTCACCCAGCAGATGCAGCCGTCTTAAATGTTTGTGCCCCAAGTAACAAAGCTTCCAAATATATAAAGCAAAACACACAGCACTGAAAGGAAAGGCAGGCCAAGCCGAAGCTAGGGGATGAGTTGGTCACACTAAGTGCGGTGGAGAGAGAGCCCGGGCTTCGTACTTTATGGCTGGCAGAAGGCTGCAATGAAAGCAACTTCCAGGACTGAATCACGAGGAAGGAGCTGTCACCTTCGACCACTGACAGGGTCAGCATATCCTTCATCCTCTGATAAATCTGTGAGACGTTTAAGGGAATCACCCTTTACCCTCTGGGGCTGTTGCGTTTGCATTCTCTTACGTCACACAGTTGAGTTTTTCTGTTTTCTCACAGCAGTTCTCGGAGCATCCCCCAGCCTGCCGCAGCTCATCAGCACCCCGGTGCCCCCCACATTCTTACACCTGAGTAAAGCACACCAGGTACGTGGGCCGGGGGCTCCAGGTCACAAGGGTCTGGAGAGAATGGTTCAGAGTTCCCAAGAAGTCGACTGATTGTTTTGCTTTTAAGGAAAGTCTTTAATAAGTACACGTTGCTACTTAAAATCGTAGCTTGGTGAGTATATCAGGTTTAGGGAAGCTCATCAAAGCAGCACAGTTATATTTATTGATTCCTGTTTGTTAGGCAGAGAAGAGGTATATTTTGCAGTATAGTTCTGCTAGATAATAAGTCAATAGTTCAAAGTAAGAGCTTTTATATTTACTCAGAAAATATTTATAGGGCTGGGGTGTGGCTCAGGAGGCCTGGGATCAATCCCCAGCACTGCAAAAAAATTACAAATATATAATCACGTATAACTAAGTCATTACAATTGAAATGTGTTTACAAATATCCGTGCTATTGGAAACAAATGTTGCTGGGCTGGGGATTTAGCTCAGTGGTTCCGTTGCCTGCCTCACAAGCTCAAGGACCCGAGTTCCATCCCTGGTACCAAAAACAAAACAAAACAAAAATCTGAAGGAAATAAATGTTGCCATCATTTTCAGATACTGTTTAAGGCTGCACCATCGTGTCAGGCTTGTGTGGGCTGCGGCTTGGCACAAGCTGAGCAAAGGACCGAATGGTCCGGGCGCAGCCCCGCCTCGCCGAGCCGGCCTGCACTTCTGTGCTGAGCCTGGTGCAGACCCAGGGCTCTGTGGGGCCGACCCCACTCACCTGCACATCTTATCAAGAGCCTAGCAGATACCAAGCCTTGCTGGTCACCACAGCTGCAGCCTTAAGCACAACACTCCGGGCGCAGATTTCACACAGCAGGGAAGGCGAGGCTGGCTGGTGTGGAGGGTGGTGTGCGGTCAGGGGCTATGGCATCACTGTGGGGTCAGGAGGCCAGATGCCTCCGTCCAGTGTGAATGCTGCTGATGTCCCAGTTCCAGGGCCGCCTCCGCCCTCGTGGGTCTCTGCTCCTGCCGTGTACTCCGCCCAGGGTGTCCCCACCTACGCCGTATCTGTGCCCATGTCGCCTGTGCCCTGCACTCCGTCCTCTAAACTCCACTGCGCCGCTGCGTGTCCTCGTAGCCCCTGGTTCTCCTCAGAGTCGCCTCTGTGATCTTCTGTTCTGATCATTAACCCTCCCTCCACGTAGACCCCGAGACCCTGGTGCTGCAGCTGGCAGAGAACAGAACAGGGTTGGGGCAGCGGGGTGCGGTGCCTGGCTGGGCAGGGCCGGGCGGGCTCGCTTGTGTTAAGGATCTGCAGCTGGGGGGCAGGTGGGTCACCGGCCGCCTGTCCCCTCCCCAGAGCCCGTTCCTGCAGAGCCTGCCCGCTGTGGCCC